AGTGACAACAGAGAAAGGCCAATGCCATTGACAGAAGAATTTATTATTGCTTATATTTCCCAAGAGCAGGAAAAACACCACACCACGCAGGGCCACAGGAGAAACATCAGAATAGCCAGGAGGCAGAAGACAGGCATGAGGAGAGACTTAGGCCAAAGCCTTTACTGGGGTTCCCACAGGAAAGGCAACATAGGGCAGAGTAACAGTATAGGATGGGCTACGTTGCATAATTCCAGGGGACACTGGGGTTTAGATGTTGTATCTAATTCCCTGGTATCTGTCCTTGGGATGATTCAGGAAAGTGGAAATATTGGTTTGGTGTACGAGAGTTAGATAAAAAGATGGTTGAGGTTATATCCTCAAAGTGCTTGGTATAATTATGAAAGATATGCTCCTGGGTAAGTCAGTATCGTTAGGAATTAGCTAACCCTCAAAAGGGAAATATCTCTGCAGGCCTCAAAATGCCAGAGCAACAAGAATACAGATAATAAGAATATACAGTTAATATAATAACAATAATTTACTGTATAATTTAAAATAGGTACAAAAGAAAAATTTAAATGTTTCTAAAATAAAATGTTTGAGGTGATGGATATCCCCAAAACCCTCGTTTGATCACTACACATGAATCAAAATATCACACATACCCACCCCCCACCCAAAATAGGAGCAATTGTATATCAATAAAAAAAATAATAAGGCTAAGCATGATGGCTCATGCCTGCAATCCTAGCACTCTGGAAGGCCAAGGCAGAAGGACTGCTTGAATACAGGGATTCAAGACCAGTGGCTCATGCCTGTATAATCCTAGCACTCTGGGAGGCCGAGGTGGGAGGATAGCTTGAGCTCAGGAGTTCAAGACCCCCACCTGAGCAACAGCGAGACCCCCATCTCTACTAAAAATAGAAAGAAATTAGCCAAACAACTAAAAACAGAAAAAATTAGCTGGGCATGGTGGCGCATGCCTGTAGTCTCAGCTACCCGGGGGCCTGAGGCAGGAGGATTGCTTGAGCCCAGGAGTTTGAGATTGCTATGAGCGAGGCTGACACCATAGCACTCTAGCCTAGGCAAGAGAGTGAGACTCCATCTCAAAAAAAAAAGACCAGTCTGAGCAATAGAGCAACACGCCGTCTTCACAAAAATTAAAAAACAGCCAGGCACGGATGTTCACTCCTATGGTCCCAGTTACTCTGGAGGCTGAATTAGGTTTAGGCTGTTTTACTCTTCTTCTAATTAATATCTTTCTCTTTTTTTTTTTTTTTTTTTTTTTAAAGAGATAGCATCTTACTGTGTTCCCCAAGCTGGGGTGCAGTGGCTATTCCCAGGTACATTCATCACACCCCACTACAACCTCAAAGTCCTGGCTTCAGGCAATCCTCCCAATTTAGCCTCCAGGGTAGGTGGGAATACAGGCACATGCCACTGCATCAAGCTTTAATAACCTTACTACTCTCTTCTAAGAACCATTTCTGACATTGCTGAGTATTCTCACTATCGTGTGTGGGCGTGCACACATATACAGAAACCACAGGGTCTTGCTCTGTCACCCAGGACGGAGTGGAGTAGCACAATCACAGCTCACTGTAGCCTTGAACTCCTGGGCTCAAACTATACTCCCGCCTCAGCCTCCCAAGTAGCTGGGACTACAGCATGTGCCACCATACCCAGCTAATTTTTCCTATTTTTTTAGTTGTCTGGCTAATTTCTTTTTTATTTTTAGTAGAGACGGGGTCTCGCTCTTGCTCAGGCTAGTCTTGAACTCCTGACTTCAAGCGACCCTCCCACCTTGGCCTCCCAGAGTGCTAGGATTATAGGTGTGAGCCACCCCACCTGGCCTTGTCTGTTTTTTTGATACTGACTTGTACCACAACTGTGCATTGCTAGTCAGGACAAAATACTCAGTAGGAGATAATTAGCCACTGAAATTTTGATATAATTTGGCTTATCATATAGAAATCCTACAGGAATAGGTTGTGGTTAACGGAAGATTTGATTATTGCATCCCTATAGAAAATATTTTCTCATTCTAAATTTGTTAATTTGTATTATGCTTTTCGATTCAGTGCTTTGAAAGAATGGTTAGCACAAGTCAGTTTCTGTGTGTCTAATGAACTCTGGCGACTGACGAAATTAACTTTCTCAACAGCAGAGCTGAAGATCAGAAATCAATCAAACCACATAAATTAACCAAGCTAGTAAACTGCTGTCAGACCCTGTTTAGACAGCCAGTAAGTTGTTTTCTCACCCAAGATATTCATCCCTCTATGTTGCAATGACTCCTAATTTTCAGAACCCAAGAGACATAGTAAATATTAACAAGGTTAATACGTAAGGCATGCCTAGTCTTAACAACTGAATGACTACCAAAGAAATAAAAGTCTAATGGTTAGAAAGTGGGACAGCACAAAAAATTAGGTTGCTTAGCTCAATTAAACAAAAAGAAAAGAGGAGGAGGTATAATTCTTCATTAAAATATATACATATTTAAATAATCTGTGGAATTTATTTAATACTTGAGTCTCTTTTAAAAAGGCCAGACTCACACCTGTAATCCCAGTACTTTGCGAGGCCAAGTTGGGAGGATAACTTGAGGTCAGGAGTTTGAGGTTATAGTGAGCTATGACTGCGCCACTGCATTCTACTCTGGGCCACAAAGAAAGATACTATCTCTTAAAAAACAAACAAAAAAACAAAACAAAACAAAAACCCCAAAAGCTGATAAAAACAAAAACTTGGTAAAATCCCTATGATATGACATATTATTTTATCAGTTCACAACTAAAAACTAACTTACCATCCTCTTGTGAGGAAGAATATGGATAAATATGGTGGGAAGCTTTTGATTTCTCATCAGTAAATGTCCCCTGGAAAGCAAATGAACAAATTACATTAAAAGAAAGTACACAGCATACAAACTATAAGATGCCAGATGCAAATTCCATAAGACATATAAAGGTACACTGTTTTACTTACATTATAAAACTATAATATTTTTTGTAGCGTAAATGAACAGAGATGAACAACAAAATACCAAAAAAAATGTCTACACAGTTTATACTGCTATATAGAAAACTTATTTATGTAGCTCTGATGTAGCTCTTAGCTAATTCTCTACATAGCCCTGTGTATCCTATCAATAATATGAGTACCTCTAAATAATTCTTAAAATAACTCCAAAGTCACCAAATTAGCCCTCAATTTTCTTCAGGAACTTTTCCTCTGCATTCCCAACTTGGCTAACTGAAACAACAGACCAAACTTTCAACCTATCTTGGCTTTTGACACACCTTCTCCTTAAGCTTACCTATCTCTACCTTTTGATTTAAAGTAAAAGCTGTGCGACTCTTCCTTTCACTGGAAAATTCACAGGCTACTGTAGGGTTATTAACTGGCCTAATTCAATATTCGTGTGTTTTTGTTTGATTTTTTTTGGAGACAGAGTATGGCTCTGTTGCCCAAGCCAGAGTAACCTAGCATCAGCCTAGCTCACTGCAACCTCAACTCCTGGGCTCAAGCAATCCTCCTGCCTCAGTCTCCTGAGCTGCTGGGACTACAGGTGTGTGCCAAAACGCCTGGCTAATTTTTCTATTTTTTGTAGAGATGGGGTCTTGCTCTGTTGCCCAGGCTGGTCTCCAACTCCTGGCCTCAGGCCTCCTGCCTCGGCCTGTGAAAGTGCTAGGGGATTACAGGCTGAAGCCACCAAGCCCAGCCAGGGACATTTTTAAATAGCCTTTAAACAGGTTGCAAAGAAGTATGAACATCCAGTGAGTGTGAGAAAACAGAATAGCACAGTGTCTAGGACCTTGGCCTCTGGAGTCCATCAGGCCTGAATTTGAACCTCAGCTGTGTAATTTACTACGTGCATAATATAGGACAAGTGTTTTTATGCTTCGGTGACTTCCATGAAATGGAGTAATTACGTAATACCTCTATCGTAATTTTGTAGGACTGACTTAATATTAGGTTATTAAGTATGAAATGTCCGATTTCCTTAAGTATTAACTTAAACAATTGGTATCTCTGACGTTTCACTTTGACATTTACTGTTTTTTTGTTTTGTTTTTAGCGTGAAGATAAATCTTCATTCTTTCAAATGCATGTTTTGGCTTACAATTATCTTTCAAAAAAAATTTTTAGATCCATTTTTGTGAAACCATGGATAAGTCAAAAATTTGTGTTATTGCTGAATATGAGTTCCATCACAGAACCAATGCAGCACAGAGAGCTCAAAATGTTAACGAAGTGTTTGCAAAGGATGTGGTTAATGAATGCACAGTACGTCGATGGTTTTAGAAGTTCGTTGTGGTGATTTTAATCTTGAAAATGAGCCACGTGAGTGACCTGAGACCAAGATGGATAATGATGAGCTGAAAGCTGCAGTGGAAGCAAATCCATCAACCTACACGTGAATTAGCTGCAAGGTTTGCCGTTACTATTCCAATAATACTGGGCCATTTGAAATAAATGGGCAAGGTAAAGAAGCTGGATATATGCGTACCACATGAACTAAATGAGCACCAAAAGAGAAATTGTCTTGAAGCCTGCCTTTTCTTGCTGTCATGACATAATGGTGAACCATTTCTACACCATATTGTTACATGTGATGAAAATGAATTCTTTTTGACAATCGCAAGCATTAGGCACAATGGTTGCATAAAGATGAAGTGCTAAAACACAGTCCAAAACCAAATATTCATCAAAAAAAGCTAATGTTATGTATTTGGTGGTCCGGCACTGGGATTATCCACTACAGCTTCATTGACACCTGGTCGGTCGATTATGGCAGATGTCTACTGCAACCAACTGGATAAAACGATGAGGAGGCTTATGATTAAGCAGCACAGGTTGGTCAATAAAGACCCGGCCAATCCTCTTGCAAGACCACATGTCACAAGACAATGCTGCTCCAACTACAGAGCCTACATTAGAAACTCTCTGTCATTAACCATATTCACCAGATCTTGCACCAACTGACTACCACTTCTTGCAAGGAAAAATATTCAATTCTCAACAAGCTGTGGAAAATGTCTTCTGCGATTTCATCGCCACTCGCTCCCTAGGCTTCTTCAGTGCTGGAGTAAACAAGCTATCATTAAGATGGCAAAACTATGTCGATAGTTTAGGCACATATTTTGCTTAATTGTACTGCTTCTTGTTTGAGATATAACAAACTACACTTTTGATTCAAAATCGGATATTTCATATTTAATTAATAAATGCAATAAACTAAGAATAGTGATAGGAACACTATAAGGGCTCCGTGTGAGTTGTAAATGTATTTAAAATGTGTACGTAAAGGCCTGACAATCAGTACCCAATAAAGGTCCTATATTATTACCTCTTAAGGTCTCTTTCCTAAGATTGTATGAAACCAGCTAGACCCTTGCATCCCCGTGGGAACATATCCCTAGAAAACAATCACTAAAGGCACAAAATATGACGGCTAAGGACTGCACGTGGTGGCTTACACCTATAACCGCAGAACTTTAGGAGGCCAAGGCAGGAAGATTGCTTGAGGACAGGTATTTTGCAACCAGCATGGGCAATATAGCAAGACTCTTCCTCTACAAAAAATTATTAATATAAAAATTAGCCAGGCAGCCGAGTGTGGTGGCTCACGCCTGTAATCCTACCACTCTGGGAGGCCAAGGCACGAGGATTGCTCAAGGTCACGAGTTCAAGACCAGCCTGAGCAAGAGTGAGAGTCCATCTCTACGAAAAATAGAAAGAAATTAGCTGGACAACTAAAAATACACAGAAAATATTAGCCAGGCATGGTGGTGCATGTCTGTAGTTCCAGCTACTCGGGAGGCTGAGGCAGAAGGATTGCTTAAGCCCGGGAGTCTGAGGTTGCTGTGAGCTAGCTGATGCCACGGCACTCTAGCCCGGACAACAGAGCAAGACTCTGTCTCAAAAAAAAAAAAAAAAAGAAAAAGAAAAATTAGCCAGGCATAGTAACACATGCCTATAATCCTAGCTACTTGGGAGGCTAAGGAAAGCCAATCACTTGAGCCCAGGAGTTGGCGGTTAGTGTCCTTTGATCATGTCACTGCATTCCAGTTTGGCAACACAGTGATACTTTATCTCAAAAAGAAAAAAAAAAAAGACAGCTAAATATTCAGAAAAACTGTAGGAAAATATATGAACTCTTTGAAGCATGATTTCACTGCAATTAGAGTAGGTAATTTCAGCTTGAAAGAAGGAGAGGGTTAATTTATTACACTTCTGCCCTCTTAATGCTGCATATATAATTAAGGTACATTTGACAGTCCCTCCAACAAATAGGTGCTCCAAGGGAGAAAAGAAGGTTAAGTGATACATTCAAAGTTATAAAACTTATAAAAAAGAAAATGAATTTCAGACAACTTGATCTAACAGCATAATTAAATTACCTTTCACTTTGGCAGGGATGTCATATAAGTAAAAGACTACTAAATCTACAATTGTAGAGAGTATCAGAAACATTCACTTTCAGAATGAGCAAAATAATTTACTAAATGCTAAAACATAATTGAACCGGTAATCTCTTTCTGCAGCAGAAAAAAAAGATATTTCTTGAGACTTTTCGACTAATCCTAAGGATTGATAAAACTATCACACAACTGATGTTTCAGAAAATTACCTCCTGCCTCCTCCTCAGGAGGATCTCTAGAGCCCAGAAGTTCAAGGCTGCAGTGAGCTATGATTGTGCCACTGCACTCCAGCCTGAGTGACAGAGCAAGACCATGTCTCAAAAATAATTAAATAAATTTTAAAAAGTCAGCACTAGTACATATGAATAACACAGGTAAGGTTATGAAGAAGGCGTATTTTTTCAATGATTTTTTAAAACCATATATACAACTAGAACAATATAATTGGGGAGGGAATAGCATTAGTTCAAAGTAATATCTGATCTCTTTCTACCAAAAATTGTGTCACCAACTCTCTGACTTTGGTATCTCTGTGATGTAGAGTTGTGTGATGCAGAATACCCTGGTCTCCTTAACTCTATGTAAGTGTACATCACAATAAAACTATGACAACTTCATACCAAGGAATTTATTAAATGTTACTCTAGGTTAAAAAGTGGAGTTGAGGGCCAGGCACGGTGGCTCACGCCTGTAATCCTAGCACTCTTGGAGGCTGAGGTGGGCGGATTGTTTGAGCTCAGGATTCCGAGACCAGCCGGAGCAAGAGCAAGACCCCGTCACTACCAAAAAAACAGAAAAAAATTAGCTGGACAACTAAAAATATATAGAAAAATTTAGCTGGGCATGGTGGCGCATGCCTGTAGTCCCAGCTACTTTGGAGGCTGAGGCAATAGGATTGCTTGAGCCCAGGAGTTTGAGGAAGCTGTGAGGTAGGCTGCCACCACAGCACTCTAGCCCAGGCAACAGAGTGAGACTCTTGTCTTAACAAAAAAAAAAGCGGAGGTGAGTAGATAGAAAAAAACCTAGTACTTTAAGAGAGAAAATTTTCTTTTAATGCAGATACATACTGAGATCCAAAGATATTGTGGTTAATATTCATTACAGGCTTACTACTACACATTTCTGAAGTGGTTGTCTGTATTACCTGATGTCGTTTGATGATATCTTTCAATTTGCTAGCCAATTTCAGATCAATGTCTGGAATGAGGTAGATGTTCGGTCTGGACAGACAGTTGTTCTGAGGAACAAAAAAGAGATGTTGAAATTCTCTTGATTTTGAAATAATGTCACATTATTTACGTCTTACCCTAATGGCAAAAGTTGGCACATAAAGCCATACTTCTTAAAAGAGTAAAAAGTACTGTCATGAAGAATTTAAGTTTTATCTCAAGATAAAATTTAGGTGTTCACTGGTGGGACTGCAAACTAGTGCAACCTCTGTGGAAAGCAATATGGAGATACCTTAAAGAGATACAAGTAGATCTACCATTTGATCCAGCATATCCCATCACTGGGCATCTACCCGAAAGAACAAAAGACATTCTATAAAAAAGACATCTGCACTCGAATGTTTATAGAGGCACAATTCACAATTGCAAAGATATGGAAACAACCCAAGTGCCCATCAATACATGAGTGGATTAATAAAATGTGGTATATGTATACCGTGGAGTACTATTCAGCTATAAGAAACAATGGTGGCCAGGCGCGGTGGCTCACACCTGTAATCCTAGCTCTCTGGGAGGCCAAGGCGGGCAGATTGTTTGAGCTCAGGAGTTCAAAACCACCCTGAGCAAGAGCGAGACCCCATCTCTACTAAAATTAGAAAGAAATTAATTGGACAACTAAAAATATATAGAAAAAATTAGCCGGGCATGGTGGCACATGCCTGTAGTCCCAGCTACTCGGGAGGCTGAGGCAGGAGGATCGCTTGAGCCCAGGAGTTTGAGGTTGCTGTGAGCTAGGATGATGCCACGGCACTCTAGCCCAGGCAACACAGTGAGATTCTGTCTCAAAAAAAAAAAAAAAAAAAAAAAATGGTGACATAGCACCTCTTATATTTTCCTGGATAGAGCTGGAAGCCATTCTACTAAGTGAAGTATCCCAAGAATGGAAAAATAAGCACCACATGTACTCACCAGCAAATTGGTTTCACTGATCAACACCTAAGTGCATACATAGGAATAACATTTATCGGGCGTCGGGAAGATGGAAGGGGGGAGGGGATGGGTATATACAAACATAATGAGTGCAATGTGCACCATCTGGAGGATGGACACGCTTGAAGCTCAGACTGGAGGGGGGCAAGGGCAATATAACCTAAACATTTGTACCCCCATAATATGCAGAAATAAAAAAAAAAAAATTTAGGTGTTCAGCAAGCCACTAAAACCATCCTCAGATCCCTTTTCTGCAACTGGTTACACTCGGACAAAAAATGTTGAGAATCATGACTTAAATTCAGCAGCTTTTTCATTAAGGTACAATGCCATATTGCCAAATTAATCCTCATAGCCAATTATACCTGAATTTATCTTAACAGTCTGATGTAGTGTTTTTGGCTACATCTTTCGTTTGGGAAGAATTACAGCTCTTTTTTTCTCACTTCTAATTTTAAAAAGAGCAATGAGGCCAGGCACAGTGGCTCATACCTGTAATCTTAGTACTTTGGGAGGGTGAGGTGGAAGGATGACTTGAGGCCAGGAGGTGAAGACCAGCCTGGGCAACAGGGGTGACAAGAGTGAGACCCTGTCTCAAAAACGATAAATAAATTAAATTAAATACAATTATCGAGGTGTGGTGGCGCATGCCTGTAGTCCCAAGCTACTCAAAAGGCTGAGGCAGGAGGATCTCTAGCCCAGGAGTTTGAGGTTGCAGTGAGCTATCATGATGCCACTGCACTCTAGCCCAGGCAACAAAGTGAGACCCTATCTCAAAAAACAAATAAACAAGGAAGCAAACAAAAAAACCACAGCAGCAATGACAAAATATATATATTAATTCCCCAAACCATGACCAAAACTCAATCAACAAACAAAACATATTCAATTATTTCCCTTAGCTAAGAGTCTGTGGGACAAACTACTTTCACGCATTAAGCTAATGATAATACCTAGCTTAATTTTTACCAGCTCTAACAAGGTTAATTCAGTGATCATTATAAACTACCAATCGATAAAAATACTAGGAAACATAAAGAAGAAAATTAAGCATTCTCTCTTTCATATTATAATTTAGTTAGGGAAATAAGATCTGCATCTATTGCACAACCATGGAACCCATGGAACAAACCCAAAGAAAATGACTATATAATCTAATGGCCAATAGGATGGAAGAGGGTTTATGTTAAATAAAGTGAGGGTGATTCAAATAATAGATTAGGTGAAATTAATACAGAAAATTATCAGAAATTATTTCACCAGTTATTTAAAATCAGTAGTCTTAAAATGACAAGATTAGTCATAGCACTAATCCGCAAATGCTCATAAAATTAATACAGATTTCAGAACATTTTTCTTCCTTTCTCCTTTTGACAATCCAATAAAGCCAATCTTAGAACTGAAAATATACTAGAGAAAAAGGTTTTAATAACCTAAGTTTCCAAGTTACCTGTACCAATGTTTTTTCAATATTCATAAACATTTCAACATTACGATCCATTCGGGACGGATTCTGTAGGTCGAATCTCCGCCTAAATGAAAAAAACAAAAATCACTAGTTAACTTGTCTCCCACGTTAAACACAAGTGAAAGCTTACTTTCAGAATTCAATGCAAATGAGTTAGAATGATTTGGAAATTAAAATAGCACTCTACAAATTGTGTGAGGGTATTCTCCCAGTAATATAAGAATACATGGTGTAAATACCTGTATAAAAGAGATAACATTAAGATCGACTACAATCAAAATGAAGTACTAATTCCATGAAGTACCCAATTTTCCTTAAATCTAAGATACTTTCTTCTATAAAAGTAGTTCACAGATCCACAGGCAGGGAACGACCATACTACAAGGATTAAGGAAACTTTGTCTAAGTTACATGTTTAAAAATCAGGCCAGGTGTGGTGGTTCATGCCTGTAATCCTAGCACTCAGGGAGGCTGAGGCAGGAGGATCACTTGAGCTCAGGAGTTCAAGATCAGCCTGAGCAAGAGTGAGACTCTGTCTCCACTAAAAATAGAAAAAAGTAGCCAGGTGTGGGGGTGCACGCCTGTAGTCCCAGCTACTCAGGAGGCTGAGGCAGGAGGATCACTTGAGCCCAGGAGTTTAGGTTGCTGTGAGCTAGGTTGATGTCACAGGACTCTAGTCCAGGCAACAGAGCAAGACACTGTTTCAAATAAATACATACACATCATTTGTTTAGGCCGGGGCAGTGGCTTCACGCCTGTAATCCTAGCACTTTGGGAGCCTGAGGCGGGAGAACTGCTCGAGCCCAGGAGCTCGAGACCACCCTAGGCAACAGCAAGACCCCGTTTCTATCCCCCCACACCAAAAAAAAAAAAACAAAAACAAAAAAACAAAAGCTTAGCCAGGCTTAGTGAAGCACACATATAGCCCTAGATACTCAGCAGGCTGAGGAAGGAGGACTGCTTAAGCCCAAGAGTTTGAAGTTGCAGTGAGCTACAATCATGTCACTGCACTCTTTTCTAGCCCCGACAACATAGCAAGACCATGTCTCCATAAAAAAGGAAGAAAGAAAAAAATCATTTGTTTAGATTCCACAGTGTCTGTGTCCTTTCAGGCAAAGAAAAGTATCTTGGGTATTTAATTCTCATATAGTTGTAACATACATGACTTAAACAGACACGTTTTTTCAAATAAAATTTCTACCTGGCCCAGTAACAATCAAGAGTAGAGCTATTGGTCAGGCGTGATGGCTCATGCCTGTAATCCTAGCACTTTGAGAGGCCAAGGCCGGAGGATCACTTGAGGCCAGGAGTTTGAGAGACCAGCCTGAGCAACACAGTGAGACCCCAACTCTATAAAAAATTAAAATATTAGCTGCCTGGGAGGCTGAAGTGGAAGGATCACTTGTACCCAGGAGTATAAGGGGACTGCAGTGAGCTATGATGACGCCACTGCAGTCCAGCCCAGGCAACAGAGTGGGACTCTTATCTCAAAAAAAAAAAAAAAAAAAAAAGACTAGTGATTCTCCCTTAATGTGAAATTATGTGATAGCTGGGGGTATCCCAGACTCATAAGTATCAGTAAGAGGTTAAGACAGCAATGATGTCTATCATCCATGTAAGGTCAGACTCAAGTGCCAGTCTTTCTTCCACAGGCTACAACTATCAAGAATTAGAATTGCACATAGTCCTTTAACCGACAAACCTAACAAACCCCTTTTCCCTGGGATTGTATAATATGGGAATACAAAGGCAAAATCTACAAATATTGTTTGTGACTACGATATATTATTATAACAAATGAGGTACTGGGAATTGTAAAGAAAACAAAGAAATAAGTCATACTCTCAAGGTGCTTTAATGTAAAAGCTATGATAAAAGCACACAGAGTATTTTAAGTGATATGAAAGAAGAGAGATATAACCTTGAGGAAACCATGTGACTGCAAAACAAAACAGGTAATGTCTGCCATACTTGTGTGACTCTTAGCTCACATCTACCACACCACCAAATGAACAGCAAGACCATCAGTTCCAAAACTGGCATCAGACGCCAAAATAGGCATTGGAGCTATAATAAAAAGTTCCAAAGGATGATTACTCATCAGCACCACAGACAATCTTCCACTGTTTGTTTCCCTATGCTACCCACACGCCTGGCCATGACTAGACACAAAAGCCCACAAATACTAAGTGACATTTTTAACATCCTAAAGTGGAGGAAAAATCAGCAATAAAGATTCTGCCTACCACAGTTTATATCTTAAGGAGATAACACCAAATATCTAGTATTTCTTTGAGAACTCTCTCTCCAAAGATTGCATGAAAATTGATCATAGTGTCTTCAGATACTCAATAATTACTATGGATGATTCACAGAAGAATAGCTGACAAGGGTATTTAGAAAAACTCCTTTTAAAATGAGGAGAAGTAACAACACTTACTACTTTCAATGATTCTTTAGAACCTTCCATCAACATGCTGATGTTCTTGACAGGGTTCTACCATCACCATCTTAATCTCTCTATCCTATATTTTCTTGTCATCTGAGTATTCTTTTTCCCCTATATTATCTCAAGAATCCTCATTACCCTTCTCCATGATTTGAGGTAGCCTCGAAATCCTACTTTAGTGCCTCATACTAATACCTACCTTCTTGAAAAAAATTGATGTTTGATTCTGTTTTACCAAGTGTGGTAAAATTTATCCTAATACCCTTTACTTAAAACTGTGGCACTGGTCTCTTTTTTTTTTTGAGACAGAGTCTTATTGTGTTGCCCGGGCTAGAGTGCCGTGGCATCAACCTAGCTCACAGCAACCTCAAACTCCTGGGTGCAAGTGATCCTTCTGCCTCAGCCTCCCGAGTAGCTAGTACCACAGGCATGCGCCACCATGCCCGACATGTGTCTCCCCCTTTATAAAGAAGGGTAACTCTTCCACAAAGATAACAAAAGAACTATAGCCAGAAGTATTATCACTTAGAGAATTACTTACATAAGAGCTTACTCATTATTGACAAAGAAACTGCTTCCCTAATAAATGATGCAGATAATAGAGCTGAAGGAAATTATCTCTATTAGAAATTTGGGAAATAATTTGAAGTGTTTATTAAACAAATTAAAACAGGGCTGGCTGGATTTATCTGCAAATGAAGATAAAAAAATAAATCTGTTAATAGAGAAAGAATCAAGAATTTGGCTGGTCCAATGGTAGTAGGTTATCACAACTTACTAACATTAATGTCACTGAAATTGGGATAACACCCCCCATTGCTAAATGTAACTGGCTTAATAAAAAAAAAAATTTATTCTGCCTTTCCAACTGTTGATGACTAAAGTTTCTCTTTATAAAAGCATTCCAGCTAATATAAATGAAAAAAGAATGACAGAATGACACTCTTTAACAAGGAATAATCTATATAACAATAAGGATCTATATACATTAGAATATCTACATTCTTATTTTCAAACTTAGAGTATTACAGCTGTGTAAGTTGTATTGAAATAATTACTCTAGGCACTGAACATCAATGTCTGCCCATTATAAACAGAAAGAACAGATATCACATGCCCCCAGATGGAAGAACACAACATTATGTATGAAGTACTGTTCAAAAAAATTAACCGAATCAGACTAAGCCTCTAGATCTAATCACCAGTTTACAACACATGATAACCTGGAGGCATATCAGAAAAATCTAAAACAATGTAGTAACAATGACAACTTGCAAGGAAAAGAGGGTAAAGAGAGAATAAAAAGGAAAACTAAATTTTTTCTTAAAGAGACTTAAAAGTCATATCAACCAAATGCAACATATGTGCCCTGTTTGGATACTCATTAAATAAAATTTAAAAACATTCACGAGATAATCAGGGAAATGTGAACACTAAATGGAGTGTTAATAATTTTTTTTTGAGACAGGGTCTCACTATATTGCCCAGGCTGGTCTGAAACTCCTGGGCTCAAGTGATCCTCTCGTGTGAGCCTCCTGAGTAGCTTATAGGCATAAGCCATCGTAACCAGCGATACTTGATAAATTGAAAAATTAGCTGGGTGAGGCTCAGCTAATTAGGCTCAGCTAAATCCCAGCTACTTGGGAGGCTGAGATGGGAGGATTGCTTTAGCCCAAGAGTTGGAAGCTGCTGTGAGCTATGATCATGCCACTGCCCTCTGGCCTGGGTGACAAAGCAAGCCCCTATCTCTTAAATAAAAAAAAATAAAGGAAGAAAAGAAAAATCACTGTTAATTTTCTTAGTTGTGATAATGGTTGCATTATTATACTTTTTAAAATCCTATTTCAGAAATAAATACATAGTGAAGTATTCACAGTTAACCCTTCAACAACACGGATTTGAACTGAGTGGGTCCACTTACATGTGGATTTCCTTCCACCTCTGCTACCCCTGAGACATCGAGACCAAGCCCTCCTTGTGCTCCTCCTCAGCCTGAACATGAAGATGATGAACACCTTTATGATGATCCATTTCCACTTAATGAATAGTAAACACATTTTTCTCTTATTATTTTCTTAGTAACATTTTTTCCTCTACTTTACTTTATTATACAAGAATGCAGTATATAATATAAAATATGTGGTAATCGTTTATCAGTAAGGGCTTCTGGTCAATGGTAAGTAAGCTATTAGTAAAGTTTTGGGGAGTTGAAAGTTATACGTGAATTTTCAGACACACAGATGGTAGGCACCCTTTACCCTCATGTTGTTCAAGGGTCAACTCTACAGATAAAATTATATAAAGTAGAAGGTGCATGATGGTAAATGGTGATTCATTATATTATTCTCTCCTCATTCATTCATTCATTTATTGAAAGGGTCTTGCCCGGCCCTCTCTCCTTTTAAATAGTTTATATTTTTGGCTGGGCACAGTGGCTCATGCCAGTAATCCCAGCACTTTGGGAGGCCAAGGCAGGAAAACTGTTTGAAGCCAGGAGTTTGAGACCAGTCTGGGCAACATATCAAGATGTGGTCTCCAAAGGCCAGGCGTGGTGGCTCACGCCTGTAATCCTAGCACTCTGGGAGTCCGAGGCGGGTGGATCACTCAAGGTCAGGAGTTCAAGATCAGCCTGAGCAAGAGCGAGACCCCATCTCTACTAAAAATAGAAAGAAATGATCTGGACAACTAAAAATATATATATATAGAAAAAACTAGCCGGGCATGGTGGCACATGCCTGTAGTCCCAGCTACTCGGGAGGCTGAGGCAGTAGGATCGCTTGAGCCCAGGAGTTTGAGGTTGCTGTGAGCTAGGCTGATGCCACGGCACGCTAGCCAGGGCAGTAGAGCCAGACTCTGTCTCCAAAAAAAAAAAAAAAAAAAGCAAGATGTGGTCTCCAAAAAAAATTTTTTTTTAAATTAGGCAGGTGTGGTGGCATGTTCCTGTAGTCCCAGCTACTCAGGAGGCTGAGGCAGGAGGATCGCTTGAACCCAGGAGTTTGAGGTTGCAGTGAGCTATGATGATGCCATTGTACTCTAGCCCAGGAGACAGAGCAAGATTATTTCAAAAAAAAAAAAAAAATTTTCACTGTGCTGGCAGCACTGGGACGCAAACCAAGTTCTGCAGTATGTAACCTAGAAAAAGTCATTTCACTCAGACTCTGTCCTCAAGTGTTCAGATCAGAACGTGGGATATAAGCTGAACAAGAAACAGACAGAAAATAGATCTAACTAGGAATCCAGAGCTAACAGTAGGGTACAAACCATATCTGAGAGTACTCAGGCATGCTGTTGGTCCTACATCAGGGAATAACCTGGTGAGAGGTGCAACCCCAGAGCTGGACACAAAATTAGAAAATAATTCTCATTCATGTTCATTTAATCAATTAACCAGTATCTATTAAACACCTAGCCATATATAAAAACTTTTAGCAAACACACACGTCTGCATCTCTATTTACTATATATAAATAATCTAATTATAAACTTGACCTGAATATTTATTTGCATTTCCCGGCCATAAAGTCATGCTTTAAATTAAAATACACCAATTACATACATATTCTCCTGGAAAGATGCTAAAATCATAAATTGTACACAACTATAACTCCCAAACAACTTTAAGCAAATGTACTCAAGTCACCCCACTCAACCCTGTGAAGTGGCTCGCTGAGCACCCTTGAGGAGCTCAGAACCATCATCATTACATATTCACTAGTCCCAGAAGCTAACCTCACAACACAATAGAAGCCCCAAACTTCAAGAAAGCAAAGAAATAGGATCAAGAGAGACAGGGCTAGAAAAGGAAGAGTGAATGGATCAAAACGGTAAAAACAACAGAAATTCTTTTTTTTTTGCGACAGAGTCTCGCTCTGTTGCCCAGCCTAGAGTGCCCTGGCGTCAGCCTAGTTGACAGCAACCTCAAACTCCTGGGCTCAAGCGATCCTCCTGCCTCAGCCTCCCGAGTAGCTGGGACTACAGGAGCACATCACCATGCCTGGCTAATTTTTTTCTATGTTTAGTAGAGACAGGGTCTCACTCTTGCTCAGGCTGATCTCAAACTCCTGATCTCAAGCAATCCTCCTACCTCGGCCTCCCAGAGTGCTAGGATTACAGGCATGAGCCACCGCGCCCGGCCAGGAATTCTCAACCTATTTCCACCACTGACCCAGGCAAAGATCTGTACTTCTCTAAGCCAGATTCCTTTAACCATGTCCTGAGGATGGCAAACTAGATGACTCATTTAAAGGCCTAGCTCACTAGGACACTAAAACTATTATTTATCAGATTCATATATAATGAAATTACAAGTTCATCATATACATTTCTACATTTAATGGTGATCCTACCTTCTAATTTGCTAATAATATGTATCTGTTATCTATATAGAATCATACGTAAGAAATAATCTGCCTAATAAATACAATATTTTGACATTTTTCTTGGATGTCAAGACAAAGTAAATTGCTGTTGATAAAACACAACCTACCTTTATGCTTAAATCATAATGGGCTTACAGAATTCTCTAATACCATACAAAAGAACAGGATTTAAAATTAAATAAACACGTCAAATCGTGCAAATACAAAAACTTACCATCCCTGTTCATTTTTATACTTGTAAGCAGCTCCAAGAATGTGACACAAGGTGCCTCCAGCTTTGAAATCCATGAAACATTTTGCCTGAAATGATACAAATTACACATAAGAAAAATAAAGGTTCTCACAAAGTTACTCATATCTGAATTCTAAGTTTTATGAACTCAAAGACATAAACTACTAATTTAATAACCTTAAATACTTTCTCAAATAAACTGAGGTATGAAGAAATTGTACAAGTGGATTTGAAAAAAATTTTTTTTAAAGGAGACGAGGGTCTCACTCTGTCACCCAAGCTGGAGTGCAGTGTCAAGATCATAGCTCACTGCTGCCTCGAACCCGTAGGCTCAAATGATCCTCTCACCTCAGCCTCCTGAGTAACTGGGAATACAAGTGTGACCCACCACACCCAGCTAATTTTTTCATTTTTTTTAGAAGACCAGGTCTTGCTATGTTGCCCAGGCTGGTCTCTAACTCCTGGACTCACGCTATCCTCACACCTCAACCCTCCTGAGTAGCTTAAAGATTTCCTTTTAAATCCCACTATTACTCTTTGAGTAAGTAGTCTGTCTGAGAACAGCAAGATTTTATGAAAGATAAATCAAAATGACTCAAAAGTATGCACTAATGGATAAAAAAATGATATACTACAAATTCCACTGGTAAACTTAAAATCTGATTTTCAAAACATAAAATTCCAGTTAGGCCAGGCATGGTGGCTCACACCTGTAATCTACCACTCTGGGAGGCCACGGCGGGTGGATCATTTGAGCTCAGGAGTTTGAGACCAGCCTGAGCAAGAACAAGACCCCGTCTCTACTGAAAAAAAAAGAGAAAGAAATTAGGTGGACAACTAAAAATATATATGCAAAAAATTAGCCGGTCATGGTGGCGCATGCCTGTAATCCCAGCAATTCGGGAGGCTGAGGCAGGAGGATTGCTTGAGCCTAGGAGTTTGAGGTTGCTGTAAGCTAGGCTGATGCCATGGCACTCTAGCCCGGGCAACGGAGTGAAACTCTGACTCAAAACAAACAAACAAAAAAAATTCCAGTTATACACAATTTCCAACGATAATTTTCCTGTAGAATAAGAAATATTAGTATATCAGATTTTTCCCCATTTATATTCTTTAAGCTATAAAAAATTATAACTGATCATTGTTATTGTAATATTTTAATGACCACTAAAACATGGTACAACTTTATTAAACTATATTTAACTTATAGCTAAATCTGCACTATAATTTAAAAGAGATTTGTGCTTTATGGATTATAAAAATATAGCTCAAATTAAATCAAATGCTGAGTGACTTCCATGATATGGAAATAAAACAATATAAACTGATCATCAAGTAGGCTAAATAAGATGAAATGTAGTCAGTCAGGTGGCTCACACCTATAATCCCAGTGCTTTGGGAGGCCGACATGGGAGAATTGCTTGAGGCCAGGAGTTTCAAGATCACCCTAGGCAACAAAGCAAGACTCCATTTCCACAAAAAATTTTTTTAAAAGTCAGCTGAGCACATAATCCTAGCTATTTGGGGGGTTAAGGTGGACGAATCCCTTGAGCCCAGGAGTTCAAGGCTCCAGTGAACTATGACAGCACCAGCGCACTCCAGCCTTAGTAACAGAGCAAGACCCTGTCTCGAAAAACCAAAAAAAAAAAAGGATTTGGGATTACAGTTCCCATAACAAGTACCAGTATGAGAATTATTCAGATAAAACAAACAGACCAGAGCTAGGGAATGGAAAGCTAGAGACAGAGACTAGAGACTTCTCCGGAACAACCCCTGTGTGCTGGCTACACCCCATTCAAAACCTATCCCAGCCACCCCTATGCTAAAGAGGCCCTGCCCTAACTCACAGTTTGTGTGGTTCAAATACAAGAGCTCATGTTACCTAAATAAAAGTACATTCTTCTTGATTAGTATTGTTACATCTAAACAATAAAGGGGTAATAGAGTAGCAAAAATTGAGCTTTCAAGAGCCAGCAAGCTGCCGCCTTACATAAGTATCTCAACAGCTGCACACTCCAATTAGAGACTCTGCAGGCCAGGGTCAGCTCTAACAAGCTGCTTCAACTCCCAGCTGTGTGACCCAATTGCTTTTAATAAACTGGTCTATCCTTGGCTAACTAAATTGGAAATTTAATCTAATCTTATTCTGGGTATATATAAATGGCCTCACCCTACCTATTTATAGCCTACCTAAAATTCTGCTAAGCTGAAACATAGAAAAGATAAATCTACTACAATACTTAAAAGTGTTTTAAATGTGTGCCATGGTGTTCTTATTTCTTTATTCTTTTGTCTTATTCATTAAGACAAGGTAGTGCTAACAGTTAGTCAAAAGGAAAAGGATAGTGTGTGTATTTATGGGCATATGCATTTTTACTGCCAGATTTAAGTCTACTCACCAATAAATGACTATGCCAGAAAATGGATGCGAAGAACTAAATACAAAACCAGAGAATGAATATGTCCAAGAAACCAAGAACGTTCACAGGAAATCTCAAAGTCGCCTTCACACCGTGAAAATGGTTGAGGGAAAAAATATATCACACCTAGATTCCAAAACCCTTTTGCTGTCATCCAAGCTAGGGTGCACTTGCGTGATCATAGTTCACAGCAACCTTCAACTCCTAGCCTCAAGCAAGCCTCTTGCCTCAGCCTCCCTCAATTACTGGGACTAGAAGTGCACCCCGCCATGCCTGGCTAATTTTTCATATTTTTTTGTAGACAAGAGATCTCACTATGTTGCCCAGGCTGGTCTCAAACTCCTGGCCTCAAGCGATCCTCCTACAACCTCCCAAAGTGCTGAAATTACAGGCATGAGCCACTGTGCCCTGCCCTCCAAACCCTTTCACCTCACAAGGATGAAAATCAAATATTCCATAAATTTATTTATATATTTTACCTGCTTTGCAGTTAGTCTTATAAGTAGCACCTCTACTCCTAGGTAATCACTGCTGTAATAGCCATATTTTGGGAGAGAACAAAAAGTATTAGCATTGCTGCCAATTACTGAGAACTTTACATGAGGCCCTTTTCATATACATTATCTCATTTACTCCTCACAACAATCCTATGAAGCTGACTCTTTTTAACCCCAATTTTACAGATAAGAAAAATGTTGCTGACTCCAGCAACATGGCAGACTAAATGATCATAAAACTCTTCCACTACAAACACACAGAAATGTCAGAAAAATGTAATAAAAATATTTTATATGAGCAAATGACTTCCTAGAAAGAAAGCAAATCCTCAGGAGCAAAAATCAAAGGGGTGGAGGTTAGAAACAACTAAAAGTCAAAGCAGTCATCTTCTGTGGTAAAAACTGCAACCCTACCTCTAGGGTCATGGGCAGGACAACGAGGGGACTAGACAGGTAATTAATGTCAACCTTGATAACATAAAGGTCAGAATCTTACTGTCTATTCAAGGACAGGAATTAAGAACTTGAACCAAAGCAAGGAAGGGCATAGAACTAAAACAATCACCCACCAAACACACATATAAAGCCAGGAGTCTCAATAGGTAACACCATTAGGGAAAAGATGAGCTAGAAAAAAAAATCTGCCCTTCAATAACTAAGGAAGAAGAAAAGTTTCCATCTCAAGATAATCTGGGTTTGGAACTTAACACCAACCACTCAGTCTAGGAACCCCTTGCTAAATTAACAAAAGATTTGCTCCTAAATTTGACAGGTCCACTTAGGTGCCTTAAAAACCTATCAGGTCAACAGGATTATTAAATTTCTTTCTTTTCTATTCTTTTTCCTTTTTTTCTTTTTTTTTTGAGGCAGGGAGTCCTTCTGTTGCCCAGAGTAGAGTGCAGTGGCATCATCACAGCTCACTGCAACCTCCAACCCCTGGACTCAAGCAATATTCCTGCCCCAGCCTCCCAAGTAGCTGGCACTACAGATGCCTGTCACCATGTCTAGCTTATTTTCCTATTTTTTTGCAGAGACAGGGTCTCACTCTTGCTCAGGCTAAATTACCAAATTTCTTTTTCTTTTTTTTTTTTTGAGACAGAGTCTCACTCTGTTGCGCAGGCAAGTGCTGTAGCATCAGCCTAGCTGCTCACAGCAACCTCAAACTCCTGGGCTCAAGTGATCCTCCTGCCTCAGCCTCCTCAGTAGCTGGGACTACAGGCATGCACAACTACACCTGGCTAATTTTTTCTATTTTAGTAGAGATGGGATCTCATTCTTGCTCAGGCTGGTCCTAAGCAAGCGATCCTCCTGACCTCAAGTGATCCTCCGGCCTTGGCCCCCCAGAGTGCTGGGATTATAGGCATGAGCCACCACGCCTGGCCCTAGATTACCAAATTTCAAACACACAAAGAAACAAACTGAATTCCCAAAATTCAAATACACAAAGAAACAAGACAACAAAGTAACATCAACAGATAAAACAAGGTTAGAATCCTAAAATGTTCAGATGACAGAAAAAAATGCTTGTAAAATTAGTCATATATAAAATGATTAAAGACATTAAAAAAAGAAAGATCTGAGGCCAGGTGTGGCCTATAATCCTAGCACTGTGGGAGGCCAAGGCAGGAAGACTGCCAGAGGCTAGAAGTTTGAGACAAGCCTGGGCAACACTGTAAGACTCTGTCTCTACAAAAAAGACTGAAGAGACATAACTAAATAAAATGTGTAACCTTGGTTTAAATCTTATAAAGGACATTTTTGAAACAACTGGTGAAATGTGAAGACAGATTTATGGTAAATAATGGTACTGTATCAATTTTCCTAAATTTGATCCTTGTATTTGCTAAGACAATGCCTTTGTTCTAAGGCCATCCATGTCTCAATCTTAAATCTCTACAGCTATCCCCGTCCCTGCTAGACTGAATCCCAGGATGCTGACAACTTCTCAAGTGATTTCAAAAAAGTGCAATATTAACCTCTGTGGTGACTAAGACTGGTCATTCTTCCCTATAAGTCCTTTTGTTCTTGCTTCCCAGACCCATATACTAATCTTTGCTTTCTTCCTCACCCATTTCAAAAAGTCCCAGAATTAGCATCATTTTGACAAAACAGTACCATTTTCAGACACATATCATAAAATATTCAGAACTG